AACATCCTATCTTTCCAAGTATCACTTTTTTACCACCCAGAAATTTGTAAAATGATGAAATAAAAATAAAGAGTATTAATACTTCATATCTCAAAGATCTGACTAAACACAAAGGAAGAATATTTAGTGGACTTTCTTTACTTGTGGGTTCCCTATAATTGTATTAATTTGATATCTTTATTTTTTAGTATAAATATAGTTCCCAGCCCCATTATTACTTTGCATGCTTGTCTTGTACTGGAGATTGAGAGCTATTTATGTGTGTTTCCAGAATGCTACTCAAAGACAGAATATTTAGAACTCCAAAGAGTTGATGTTTTACAAGGAAGTGCCTTTGAAGTCAAATAAGTTTTTGATAAAACCTCAAGTCTAGAAAATGTCTAGAAAGACAGAAAGCTATATATTCTTGCTTTCTTCACAGTTTCATCTTCTAGATCATGTCATTAGTTACTCTTGAATCCCACTGATGACTAAATGTGATTCTCCTTGTCAGATATGCAATGATGAGACCCATACAGTTCAAAGACTTCTTGAAATTCAATGGCATTTATGATGATGGGAGAGTTTTTGATGATGTTAATGAAGATATGATACTGGTGATGTGGAAATTATATATAAAGTAGTTGTTAGAGTAACATTATGAAAATATCTGAATCTCAAATTATTTAAAGTTTTATATATGTTGAAATTAAGATTTATTCTTTCATATACTATTTGAAATATCACCTGATTATCCTTTTTCTTTTTGACATTTCAGTCACATCCTCAAACAGTTAATAGCATGAATATTTAACCTTTAAAGAATTGAACCTATAGTCTTTATGGTAGATTGAAAAGGTTTGGGGACATATGCTTGTTTGGTTTGGTCCTATTTGAAAGACAATTTTTATTTTTCCCTCTGTCTTTCTCTTTCAGAACAACTTCAGAAAGAAAACGGTAAACTTCCATGAAAATCAGTTTATGGACATGCTGTTATCTTCCTGCAGGAATTTTGTTTATTTCTTTCCGCCTTTATCTCCATTGCTACCTTGTACTGAATATATTTTGTGTGGTTTTCCCTCGTCATTTTTATTTTTATATTTCTAGCTGCTCTGTTTGCCCATTTCTATGCTCACTATAGTTATGCCAAAAATCACATTTGTCATATTATTGAATTATCTTTAACAAGTGTAAGATTTCTTCATCTTTCTTCATCATCAATACGTTTTCATGTTCAGTCTGAGATGACATTTATTCTGCCATCAGAATGTGTTAGGGCTCTTGTGATAATTCTGAGCCCAAAGTTTCATGGTTAAAGTAAAGCTTCTAGGTAATAGAGTTTTATCAAAGTACTTGAAATAGTTATTAAAAAACTCTTAGCTTTGGGATTGTAACATTGGTGCGTAGGCCAGTGTTGGAGTCATGCCATATACTTAGTGATTATGAATATACTTTACTGGATATAAATTAGATTTTTTCAGAATTGTTTTTTGTTATTAATCTGGCCCCTTAGCAAAGGTCAGAATCTAATCATATTATGGAATCTGTTGACCTAGAAATTGTCTTAATTTTTTTCTATTATTTTTCATATAGTGAAGAAAGAAATCTAGGTTTTATCAATTTAAATTATTTCATACAAAGTCCTTGAGATCTTTTCCAAGGTTGCAAACTGCTTTGGAGGAGATTCTTCATCTTTCTCTCATAGAAGCATTGGTGGATCTGAAACTGCAGCTTATGGGTTAACAGCTCAGCTCCCTATGGACTATGGCAGCAGAAATAGTGGCTTTCAATCTTATTTTTTCATCTTAGTTTTTCTTAAAAAACATTTCCCTGTTGCTAAAACACACAGGCCAGTCAGGACCCTTGATTTTCTCTTCTATTACATATTAATCTAAAATAGAAAGACAATGTAGTGCTCAAAATTCACTGAAGCATGTTTCTTTTAAATGTGACTGGCAACCTAGTAGGTGCTGGTTGGCACAAAAGAGGTAATGGGTTGGCGGCTACTTCAAAGTGTTAATGCTCTAAGTTCACTCAGCAACACCTCAGAGGAAAGGCTTGAAATTTTATTTCCTAAGATTGAGCCATTAAGAATCCTATGGAGCTCACTTCTGCCTATATAGACAGGAGGTCACTGTGTCACTGTCAATTCATCATGCACTGGTTACTGGCCAACAACCTAACAATGTGATAATAATGGAATAATGATGATCAAAACATTCTATGACAAGAAGGTTTTTTATTAAAAATTACATCTCCTTCCTTCTTTTTTTAATATAAAAAATCTTAAGTCTGATTGTGATACATACATGAGCACATAATTGAAAAACTGTAGATTGTCTTAAAAATAAAAAAATTATAAATTTCGTAATTGAATTCTTGACCAGCCCTGGAACACAGGATCACCAAAAGCACCTTGATAGTTGAGAGTGCTTAAGATTTGAGAGTAGTGAGCTATTTCCCATAAGATCTAAATTTATTTCATTGGATAATTTCAATTGACACTCAGAAACTCACACATCAGTCAAATCAAAACAGAGTATTTATACTTCAACTTTTAAAGAACTGGCTAAATATCAAAATAAACGAATCCACTCTGCATTCTTATATATTGCTTACAATTATGCTAAGTTTATCTATTACCTTAAAATGATTTTTCTTTTAATGATTCTAATTGGTTGAAATATTTTTCCAGTGAACTCTTTAAAAATGTTTCTTTTAGTATGAATGTAATTCCAAACTTTCTTGTTGTTTGACATAATTATGAAATAGTAGTGACGTAAAGCTATTTATATATTCACTAAATTATGTTAAATGACAGGAGTATTCAGAACACTAAGCCACTTAGTTTACTGCATGAATACACCTTTGGAGTCAAATATGTAGAAGTTCAACCATGAAATAGCAACTCTAGAAAAGATACCAAGTTATAGCTCCTGATCTAATGTAATGCTCATAATATCATATGCAATTCCAAGTTCAGTATAGAGAACACTTTAAAAAAAACCAAACACACACAAAAAGAAAACTTTTGTTGAAATCACTAGCATTTGTGATGATAATATTTTCAATTATGAGTGCAATAAGAAAATGTTTTGACACAGATTATTGCATTAGGGTAAAATTAGTCATAAAGTATAATTATGAAGGATTAGATTCACAAATGACTTAAATTTTATCCATGATATTGTTAAAATCATTTTTCTATTCACTATTTGTTTTGAAGTCTTATTTTTCCCTTTCCCTCAGAATATTTCAATAAGATATGTACAAGAAAAAGAACAATTATTATGTGTAGCTTTCAAAGCAGCTAACTTATGGCATATGTATCTGATGGGAAGCACAATGGAGGATATATTCCTTTGTTGATTTTGTTGTTATGTGTCATTGAGTCACTTGGGACTCATAGCAACCCTATGTACAACATCCCTAAACTCCGCTCTGTCCTGTGCCAATTGCACCATCTCCAATACACCCATCCCAATTACCCCAGTCACTGAATCAATCCACCTCATAGGGGGTCTTTCCCTTCTGCACTGTCCCTCCACCCTACCAAGCATGATGTCCCTCTCCAAGGACCTGAACCTTTGTTGTTATTGAAAAATAATTGGGTTTTTTCCTCTTTACTTTCCTTTTAGAACAACTTAAAAAAGCAAATGATAAACTTTAATGGTACTTAATTTATTGACAATTTATGATCTCCTGTCAGAGATTTTCTGCCTTCTTTCTTCCCTTATTCATGCCAATAACTTCCTTTGAATTTTGCATGACTTTACACTTTTATTTTTTTTTATTGTGTTATAAGTTTTCTTGTCCATTTTTCTCTCCAGTATCTCTCTCCCGTTAATTATATTAATCTCATTCTTTAATTATCTTTAATAAATGTAGTATTTCTTAATCTTTTTCGTGATACTAGTAATAGCTCCTCTTGTTCAGTGTGAGATGAGGGTCAATCTGTTGGATAAAGTATTAGACAGAGCTCTTGTTGTAGCTGCTTTGCTCAAAATTGCATGGTAAGAACACTTCTTTTAGGCAACCCAATTTCTATAATATGTTTGAGCGAAGATTCTTGAAATGAGAGCCTATATTCTGCTTTAAACTTGCGCTTTAGTGGCTGAATCAGTAGTGCAATCATTCTAAGTGCTTAGTGATTAGGAGTCTATTATCTATCATCATACCTGTTGATTCTTAAAACTTTATTTTTTTTCTAGTTTGTTTTTCAGACCAAATTAAGGAAGAGAAAGGTAGGTGTGGAAAGTACAATATATTCAGGGATGCCGTATCTTGATAGGTGAAAGCAAAACAATGAGTATAGTCGTGGTTGATTGGCAAAAGATTGAACCCAGGAATAAATGAAATTGCTTGAACTTCTACTGATATACAACACAGTTATGCTTTGATACACTTGAGGTCAATTGTGGCACAGTCAAATAAAAATTTTTTGGTTACCGGCTGACAAATTTATGATATGATAATAAAGAACTAATGATGGTCAAAGGAATGGATAACAAGGAGTCGTCAAGAGAGTTTACACTTGCTTAAATTTTCTATTATTTTTGTTTCCTTTCATATTCTAAAATACAGACTGTTTCATTAGTACAGTTACATAGCATAGTACATAGTACAGTTACATAGCAGCGATGCTATGTAATGTCTTGAAATCATTTCTCCAATTTGAATCTTGGGCATGTTCTAGACATTAAAAAATCAAAAGTAATTTGATGTCAGCAAGAGATTTGGATTTGAAAAGTATGACCAAATGGCAATAGCATCTTATATTTCCCATGATAACTCTTTTATGCTAACTAGAAACTTATAAATGTTGAAATCAAGCAAAGAGTATTAATACTTTACCTCTGAAAGAACTGAATAGATCTAAAGGGAAGAATATTCTTTGTATTTTCTTCCTTGTAGGTTTTCTAAAATAATGGTTACATCATATCTTAACTACTTTATTTCTTGTTGCAATCTAATCTAATCATCTAATCTAATCTAACCTAAATCAATGAAAAATTTTAAATCCCCCCTCCTCCCATCCATGTTCATCTCTCTGATTTCACCCTTTCTCTCCTTACACTCTCATACTAGTTATCCTTTTATTTTTACAATAATGATCTTATGCAGTATTTGTCCTTATGAGTGTTATTTATCTCAGCATAACACACTCTAGTCTCTTCCAAGTTATGTAGTAGTTTTTGAAACCATTACTCCTGAGTTCTATGTACAAATGGTGCTGATAAAACGACACTGCTACCTTCAGAAAACTGAAAAAGGATATCCATGTCACACCATACAAAACAAAAAAAAATCGACTCAAGGTTAATCAGAGACCTCTGGAGTTAGGCCTCAATCTATCAATTTAGTAAGAGACAACAAGGACCAACTTAGATGGCTCAGTATATGGACAGTCTATAGAGACAGAAATCTGCAATGTAGAGAGAATAAAATTGATGAATGGGTCCTTCTAGATATTAAATCTCTATCTGCACCAGAATATTTTTTCTGATGGGTGAAAAGATCACTTACCACCTGGGAAAGAAATACCTTATTTTTAAATGTGAATATACTTTGAAGCCATGCTATTGTTTGACATACTTGTCCAATACTGGACATGTAAATTTATTTATTTATGTAATTCTAAACCGATACTAGAAGGTGAAGAAAATTTAGTTGATGTATTACACAAAAGTGCCTTTGCAGTCAAATAAGTTTTAGATAAAACCTCAAATGTTGAGTACACAACTATTAGAAAAATAGCAAATTATGTGCCCTTACTCTCCTCTCAGTTGTGATACAGCTTGTAATTCATATAATAATGAGTCCATAGAGTTCAAAGACTTGTTGAAATTCCCTGGCATTTGTGATGCTAGGATGCTTTGTGATAAATAAGAAATGAAATTGATGACGAGGCAATTATTGCTATATTAGTTGTTAGGATAATATGAAAATTTGATTCTGAAATTATTTAAAGTATTAGACATATTGAAATTAAAGTTTATTCCATCATTTACCATTGAAATAAAGCCTTGTTATCCTTTTCCTTCTCTAAATTTCAGTGACATACTCACATAATTAATAACACTGACAATTAAACTTTAAAGAAGTTAACCTATGACATTTACGCTTATTGGAACAGTTTGGGAAAAACATGTATGTTTGTTTTGGTCTTGTTTAAATTAAGATCATTCCCCCCACCCTCTTTCTCTTTCAGAACAACTTCAGAAAGAAAATGGTAAGATTCAGTGACCATCAGTTTGTGGTAATGCCGGGATCTTCTTCCAGGAATTTTGATTGTTTTCTTCCTCTTTATTTTGTGCTGAATATATTTTGTGATATTCTTTCTTTTAGATTTTATGCAGTCTTTTTATTAGCTGTTCTCTTCCTTATTTCTCTCTTTGCAGTCTTTATCCATCAATGACATTTGGTTATTCTTGAATTGTCCTTAACAAATGTAATGTGTCTTGTGTTGGATCCATGCCACCGCTTAGTGACTAGGAAAACTTCATTAGTAGATTAAAATCAGAATTATCAGACATGCCTTTATATGGCTAAACGGGCAATGTGGCAAAGATCAGAACTTAATCTGAAACTTATATCTGTTGTCCTCAAAACGGTTCAAAACAGAAAAACGTCGAGAAAAAAACATATGATCAAAAGGCAATAGTCTTTTTGTGAGACCTGGTCCTCTTGTGAGATGTGATTTTGGGGGATCATGCTTTCACTCTGCTGCAAGAACTGAGGCTTATGTGGCTTGGCGGGCATCTGAGCGTGATCCAGCAACCACTTCCCCAGCAAGTGCTAAAGGCCGCAGTTAAGCCCAGGAACACTCACACCCCGGCTAGTGACAAAACCACTGCCTTCCAGATTGAGGCGTGCAGTTTTACATCTCAATCCTACCCAGAACACTAGACCATCGGCCTGGCTCTCTGAAGATCACACTGCCCATCCACCTTCAGATTGCCCAACTGTCAAGCATCAGGAGCACCAATGCCTTAGTAGTAGAGTAATATTATGAAGACTTATATTCAAAAATAGTTTATCCATAATAACTTCAAGATTATTTTTCTGAAGTCTTATTGTCTACTTTCCCTCAGGATATTTTATCTAGCTATCTATAATTTAAAATAATTTTATATGTGCTTAACCTATATGAACACACATATATAAATATATATGTGTATGTGTGTGTGTGTATGTGTGTATATATATAAAACCAATTATTAGATTTAACTTTCAAAGAAGCTCACTTAGGGCATATATATTTCATGGGAAATACCTTGCAAGATGTATTTGTTTG